ATAGATAGATAGATAGATAGATAGATAGATAGATAGATAGATAGATATGTTTGTCTATTTGTATATATATTTTTAAGGTATGCTCTTTATTTCCTTTCAAACTATTCTATTTATATTATTCACAAACTTAGCTTCTTTCCAGACGTTTCATATTGTGAAAAGAAATATCCACATGGGAATGGTGTTTTGTTGCTTTCCACATTTAGCTTTTGCTGCTACAAAATACACATACACTCCCATATGCATAGGCTGTTTGTGTTTCTGCATAAAAATTCGGTAAATGAGGTAAACTTTCCTCAACATTTGCCTGTCTTCTCTATCTCCTGATTGTGTGCCAGAGTGAGTGACAATTTAAAGTGATAGTTTAAATCTCCATGGATTATTTTGAATGGGTAAATATTTTGAGGCCCTTAATCTAACTGAGTATAAAGATGCATTGATGGGGGTAATTTTTTATTCAATCAGGCTCATGCAGAGGCTGATTACTGAGTGATGACTCTATGTTCATGTGTGAAAATTAGTGTATAGACACATTGACAGATGCACTTGTACTGCACACTCACCAATCATCAGCCCACGCAGAAATTACCATAAGAATAAAGATGAACAGAAATCCTTCAGAAGAGGCTTAATGCAGCATCTGTGCCTAGCCTCTGTGACACAGCTTGAATGAAATGCTGTTGTTGTGAAAGCAAGTTAACTATTTTCATTTGGAGACAATCAGCATGCTATTGCTGGTGTGTCTCTTTCTTAGTCCCACTGGAAAACCAGCAGGTGCCACCAAATTATGGCAGCCTCTTTTCCTCCTCTTATTATAAATAGTCAATACACATCCCACTTTTTTCTATCTTTTATTTTGTTTATGCTGTTTGAAAAGAACGGTATGCTTGCGCTTACTTAATGCATGACTTTTTGGATAGCCTCCTTGGTACATGATTTAACATCTGCTTTGATTTTTGAGTTATCTCATGTTCATACATCTCTACAAACAGACTTACAAAAGCACACAGATTCTGAAGTGGTGAAACTCCACAAACAGTAGGCTTAACTTGCATGTGCTTTAAAGTTTCAGCTCTGTGTTTGATATTTCATCACTATTGCACCATTTCTATTTCAAACTCTCCTTGATGCTGTTAATGATATATAATGTAATTTATGTTCTTAGCTGATATTCAAGGATTAATCTAGTGATTGTCTCCTCTAACTTCAAATGTCTCTTATCATCTTTCAACCATGTACATTACTTTCCTGATAACACATCATTTGGCATATACGTGTCTTATCATATTAAAGCTAAGTAATTTATGTCTGTTATACTTTTTCTTGAACTTTCTCTTTGTTTTTTAACCCTCTCTCTGCTGGCAGAGCTCAGAACATTTTCCGGCAGGCAATGCGCACCCCGGTTATCCTTTTCCACGTTGTTCCTGCAACCATGAAGAGGCAGTATGACATACTGTCAGCCCAGAGTGAGCTCAGTTCACCTCAGACAAACAGGGTTCATTTTAGCCAAGTCTCGCTGCAATCAGGGGAGAGATCAAGTCTGTTTGGAGGGTTGACAATTAGATCCGGTCCACAATCCAGCTTAAATCACAGGTGGGTTTTGGGCATGTTAGTTATTATACAGTTACCCTTGATGACCCCTTTTGTTCATATAGCCTAAACATTCTATATCAGTGAAAATTTTTAAATCATGAAATCATTAAGGAAAATCCTGAGGCACTGAACAACAGAAAAACGAAAAGGGCTAAATCTTAAGGGATGTGTGTGCCTGGGTTTTTACAGTGAATCTGAGTATGTGGGTTACAAGCTATGCAATAAAAGGCATCTTTACAGTATAGTTCAAGTAACGAGTCCTTATAGGACACGGCACACAGATAATGTTTTTAATACGTTCTCATTTGACTTTACATGCCAGCTTTCCTTAATATTCAGAGCTGTGTACATGTATAGTTTGATTATCTCTGTTTAAAACAGCAGTATTATCATAGAAATTCTAAGTTGAAAAGAGACAGGCACATAGCCATTTTCCAGAATAAGAAAAAAATGAGCAGTCATAACCTTACAACCAATTTAAAAACCAATAAATAGTTATTGGGACATATGTACTTTACTCAGCAGAACACATTGTAATAAAAAAAGGAAGATGGGAATTTTTTTAAATGCTACTTTCCTTTAGCCCATCTATCCTTAGAAATGGTTCATTGTGATAGGTGAAGCGCAAGACAAATCAGGATTTCTGTGTTCTCCTTATAGTCACCAAGGCCCTCTGGCAGGAAGCACCCCAGAACCAAGTCGACGGCATACCACTTTACCCCACGCTTTAATCTCCAGGACCTGTTCTGCCCACTCTCCTTCCCTGCAGCGCAGGATAAGCTCAAACCTGTCTAACAGCTCGTACCCAAAGAAAAAAGGGCACAGATTCAACATCCAGCTAAAGAAAGGTAACATTTATCAGGCAACTATCTGATTGTAAAATGTAAAACCCCAAAATCTTTTCATGTTACATAATAATGTACTGAATTTAGATTTTTTTCAGGTAGCCCTCTAGTGCTCATGCTGGATATATATATATATACTTATGTATATATATATAAAATACAGTACATACGTACATACATACTTAAGCAGCTAAGTGGTCCACAAAGATGCGTTATTATTCTATGAGCTGATGTAGCTCTCTGCTAATGATATCAGAACCAAGAAGCGACTTTGTTTCTACCAGCAAGAAAGCTGACGTTTTGATCTGCAAGTAGATGATGGACTGACTTGGACATTTTCACGGTTTAAAGGGGAAGGATCTAATATGCAGGAACAGGCAGGGAGACAAAAAGCAAACAAAAGCAATAACCCCAGGCGTGACATTTTAAGCCATAAGGAAGGTCTTTTAAAAAAAAAATTCCTGCCATTCCTGTTAGCACTGTTGTCTTAGCAAGAGGGTTCCCGGTTTAAAACCACCGGGGCAGAGGATGTTTCTGTATGGAGTTTGTACTCCCCATGTCTCCCTAAATTCTTTCTGGTTTAGTCCCACCATCCAAAAACATGCATATTAGAACAACTGATTATTCCACAGTGAGTGTGTGCAATAGTTGCATGGCTCTGCGATGAACTGGTGACCTACCTCTCCTTTCACCCAGTGTCAGACTCTACCCCCCAACTCCGACCCTTCTTGAAATATAGTTATATAGCTCAATTTTCCCATAATCACTAGTATTTTGGTTTCTTAAGTCTCACTGTGCTACACTCACATTCAACTTTTGCCAGAAAGAGCAAAAGATTAAAGGACTCCTAAGGAATCAGTTTTAGCTGAATGTCTTCTGTAAATATCTGGCAAAGAAGCCTTTGTAGTAAGCTTTTGGGAATAGTGCAGCAAGTGGGGCCAGACGTGCTGTAACACGCTCGGGGGAAATATGGTCAGATGCTGGTCTGATATGTTTGGCAAAGGTTTCTGGATTTCGCAATCTCAATTTCTTCAGTGAAGAGTTGCCTTGCAAGTTGCACAGTAATAATTTGTTCATTATATGATCACACAATTTTTTTCTGAAAACTGCAGCAGTCTTGTTTTTAAATGGTTTAAATCATGTCCACGAGAGAAATTCTAGTCAGAGGCTGATTTTGAATGACAAATTAACAAGGGTGCCTTAATCAAATACTTGTGTTAAGTATTAAGTATTCTGATGTTCACCAGCTTTTCTCATATTTGCTGTTGATGAACTGGGTTATTGGAGCCAGGATAAAAACTATTACAAAGGATTACACATATTATTTATTGTCCTGATTCAATATTATCCAAAATAAATATATCACTGCTCATTTACTGTATACCCATTAGGAAGATGTTCTTCCAATTTGTTGATACAAACATTTATGATGGGATCTTCTGATTAAACCAGCTAATAGTAGCTTGAAACTAAATGAAGAGCTATTATTTAAACGAGGGAACATAATTGTAATTTACAATGTATTATGATCCAAAGAAATATATATTTTTAAATTTCAAATTGATTTTATGAGCTTCAAAATTGTTTTTCTAAACGAAAGCTTCACCCGTTTAACTTTATGTTAAACTGCTTGGTAGCAATAACTGATAACTTCCTCAACTATTGTGTGACCCCGTTTAAAGACATGAAAGACAACTACATATTTAATATTCAGCTTAAACGCAGACCGCAGTTTCCGTCTGCTCCCTTATTTTAGCTTTATGGGGCAGAGATCAGAGAGGATCATTATCCTCAACACTTCAACTTTCTAACTGTGTAAGCAATCTTTTTATCACCTTTATGCAAGTTTGTTTGTGTGCAGATGCCAGAGGAAAGTTGCCAATCATGTTTTTTTCCTCATGGTGTTCCTTGCTTATCAACACATCACTGTCAGGAAGCTGACAGACAGACTGTTAAAGAGACATAGAGGGAAAAGTAGGTCATGATGAACTATCAGAGGTGCTGACAGCTCTCTCAAATGGGCCGCTACTTTGACAGGCATACTAATAAGTGCTGTAACATTTTTAAAAAGCCTAACAATCATGTTACAAGACTTTCCAACTTGACTGCTGGAAATTCAAACAGGCTGATAATACATGGCAGAATTTTAACCATCCGTTTGATCTCTGGTGCAAATGTGTCATCTAATGCCCCTTTTGTTGCAATGCTGTTCAATTTTTAATTACCAAGTCAAAGAGCTTAGCAGACACAACAGTTTTACCTGTCATAACGAAAAGCTTGTTTTTTTTTTTCTCTCTTGACACCTTTGAGCTCGGAAGGCCAGTTTTTAAAATAAAGTAAATGGCTTTGCCAGCTGATACTTTTATATTTTTTCAGATTAAGCTTCTTTGTTTTTTGTCAGTAGACAAAAACAAAGGCTTTGTTCAGAAATCATCACTTACCATTTCTCACTGTATTCATGGCTTTTTCACGTCCCTAGGCCCAGAGGGTCTTGGATTCAGCATCACGTCCAGAGATGTCCCCATTGGAGGAACTGCTCCCATTTATATCAAAAACATACTTCCTCGGGGAGCTGCCATTCAAGATGGTCGGTTGAAGGCTGGAGATCGACTGCTGGAGGTGGAGCAACAATTTCCACTTTCCATTTCCAACTATTTTGTAGTTTTCATCTGATTAGATTATTTCTTATTTCAGAAATTAGTTTATCTTCTGCTATGGCTTGTATGTAATTTTGCAGAGTTTTGCAGAGCTTTTAAAAAATAAGTCAAAGCTCTTCTATCCCAATGTAAGTTTAAAAAATATTTTGAATAATGTTCAGTCATTCTGATGAGAAAATTAGCTACCTGTCTCTTGTGAAAGGTGAGCAACCCATGTTTAACCCTAGCTTTAATTGGTTTTGAGTTTGATGTGCATAGAAATTATGCTATTTTGTTTTTCTCTGAAAAGTCGAGATAGATTTTTCTGAGTTTTATGCTTATTTTTTTCTGTGTATGTGGTTATCTTGCCATTCATTACAATGTGCATGTGTGTATGCAGGTTAGTGGAGTTGACCTCAGTGGAAAAAGCCAAGAGGAGGTGGTTGCCCTGCTTCGCGCCACACCCATGGGTGGGATTGTTAACATGGTTGTAATCCGCCAGGAGGACTCCATATTGCCCCGAGAAGTGGTCAGTTAAGCACCAGAAACTAATCTTATAATCAGAATGATAAGTCAGGGATACTATACATTTACAAATCCAAATGTACTGCAGCTGCTACTTGCAACAACTTGAGATATCTTTATTTCTAACACCTACATTATCAGCTTTTTGAACATTATTTCTCTTCAGATTCAGCTCTCCCATCTGATATTTTTTGTATTATGTTGTCTTGTATTTATTCCTGTCTTTTTTCAATTTTCTTAAAAATTGAAAAAGTGTTTTTGTGTGATGATGTGAAATGGCTGCTCCTGAGTCAGACAAACCCCAGTTACCACTTTTTACATCCCTTGTCAGAAATCAGAATCAGAAGCAGAAATCGCTTTATGGCCAAATGTACAGAGAAATTGACATGGTATCCCGACGCAAGAGGACAGTTTAAATAACAACAGGACAGTTTAAATAACAAGTGACTGTAGAAGTGGTTGGAGGGTGGAGATGTTATTATTTAACCCTATAATGCCAAATGTATCATATCTGATACATACGGTTTCTGAAGTCTTTTGAATCTGAGACTTTTTGCATCATTCAATGGTAAAAGCTTTGCTCAAAACCCCGTTGTACACATTCAGATATACCTGATAACAGCCAGTAGAAGACTATACCAAAATATATATTTGACTTATTGCATGCTAGTTTGATCAAAGATGGTGGTGGCCTGGGGAAAAAAAACTGTTCGGGTGCCTGGTGGTTCTGCTCCTGATGGATCTGAACCTTCAACCTTATTGGAGGGGTGTTAATAGGGCGTGAGCTGGGTGAGATTGGTCCCCCACTATCCTCCTGGCCCTCTGCTAAGATCTTCTACTGTGCATAACACACACAGGCTCCTGTTGGAGTACGCCATCTCATTGTTGTTCTTGATAAGGCCCAGGACCGTTGTGTCATCCCCAAATTTGACTAGTTTGATGGATGAGTGGCTGAAGAGGCAGTCATTGGTTTACAGGGAGAACAGGTAGGGGGAGAGCACACAGCCTTGTGGAGCACCGGTGTTGGTGGTGAGGGGGGCTGACAGGAAGCTGCCAATCTGCACTTGTTGCTTCCTGTTGGTGAGGAAGTCAGTGATCCACTCACAGATGGGTATGGGAATGTGTTGCTGTAGTAGATTATAGTGTCAGTTCTCCTAAAATGGCGGTCTTTTGTATTCAGTTTTTATAGTTATTATATATGTAGTTATTTATCAACCCTCATGTTTACTGCTGCCCTGTTTACTCCATTTCAATTTACCAAACTCTGGTCTTGTGGATATTCTTTGGTTTAATAACTCAATTTAATTCGTTGAGGTTGTTTGTAAGAAGGGCGGCACGGTGGTGTGGTGGTTAGCAAAATCGCCTCACAGCAGTAGGGTTCTGGGTTCCAATCCCTGGGGGACCCAAGACTTTCCTGTGTGGAGTTTGTACCCCACCTCTTGCCCATTGAATACTGGGATAGGTTTCAGTCCCCCTGTGGACCCCATTTAGGAATAAGCGCTTCCGAGAATGGATGGGTGGATGGATGTTTGAAAGAAAGTTTTTTTTTTTAATATATCAGTAAAGTGTGTAACGTGGGATTGACATTAGAGCTTAAGTTTCTGCTGAAGCAAAAAGTTTGATGAAAAAAAAGGTGCTTGTTGAAATATGAAATCGTCGAGATGGGTGAGATTTCATGGAGAATGAAAATTAGTAAATTAGTAAATGAAGGAGACAAGCTAAAAAGCTAAATAGCAGTATAATAAGACATTTAAAGAACAGGGCTAAATACAATTGGCTTAGATAATGTGAACAGATATTTGGGTAAATTGAAATTATTAAAATTATTAAGTAAAATTATATTTTTTTTCAAAACACAGCTTTATGTCAGCATCTGTCTGAAGGTATGTGCACACAGGCATGCAGCAAAGTCTTACAACAGTTCTCTGAGACCAGTATGTTCATGCAGACACTTTTAAATATTGATATATGAATGAAAATGAAGCTTTAGTCATATTCACTTACATACAGACACAAACATACAAACACACAAATTCCCACTCGTAAATGCAGCCTACTTACAGGGTGACTTTGGCTGTCATGCAGCAGATGGCAAGGCTACTGCCCTCATCCAGCCTGCACTCAGTGGCTTTGACAGCGGGCTCGGACGTCACAGCACCTTTGCATACCAGGACCACCTGATGCCAACTTCACTTGCTCTTATAATACTCAGCTGGCACCCGAGCTGGTAACCCTGCCAGATTTGTTCAAACTATGAAAATAGTGTCAGGCTAGACATATGTATTTTTTTGCTTTTTCACTTGGCAAAATACTATTTCACTTTGTTTACATCTAACTCCGTGACTTAATTCTCTTAAAGTGGCAAATGAGTACATTTATTTTATTCTCTTACAGAATGCCCCAAAATGTAACTTTATAAGTCTGGACGTCTTAAAGAATGCAATCATTTTTTAAAATATTTTGTATTTTGGTAAATGTTCGTGGCACATCGTTTGTTGCTGGCATCAAACCTGTCACTCTCAGGTCCCTTGAGTTAACAGGCTCTCTAACCAAACCACCAGTGCATCAATTCTAACTGAAGAAATGCACAAAATTGATTCATGTAGCCTTGACAGCAGCTGAATGATGCTGGAAGGGATGTTAAAAAATGCACAGCTTCCCCTGGCTTGTCTGCTCATGACTGGTGTTATACGAGAGGTTGATGGCTGCACTCTCTTAGCAAGTCACGCATAACATGAATAAAAAAAACAAACTCCATCCTGTAAACACATTTTGGAGACTGCTTGCTAATATTTGCTCACTGTTTATGATATATTAGCATTTTTAGTCTCATATTTACTTCCCCTTTTAAAAGAAACAATGTCCCGATGCCCGGCGGTGCTTTCACAAATCTCAATAATCCCTACAAGTATGTTCATAAAAATCACATAAAGAAGCCAATGCTTTACCGGTGACAGTAATTGCAAATAACGCATGGTGGAAAAGCATAGTAGATAATTGCCCTTTTTTTTGTCACGCACAATTTAAAGTTCAGTGAGTGCAAGTTTGCACGCATATATATGCTATCCACTCCATTGATTTGACACATAAAGCCCATGGACGCATGTTAACTTGTTGTTGTTCATGTAATATGCTTAATAACAATTGTGTGATATCTTAAATTGTAACATTACTGACAACCAAGTGGCATCCTTACACACAGAAATGCAAACACACTTTCACACATTCTAACGGGCCTTTCAGTTTTAAAGATAAATACGAAAAGGGGGTCCTTTTTGTCTGGTTGCTATTTACCTGCAAATTCTTATGTCAGTGCTGTAAATCCAACAGTACATTCTGTTTTGTAGATGTTTCTTTATGTACTGGCGGTATTGAACACACACAACGAAAGGAATCAATTTACCCTCCAAGTGTTTGTGTTGCATCTTTAATTACTATGGTCAGAGTGTGTTTGACATTTTTTTTCAGGAGCAAAAGCAGCAGTTGTGAAAAGCTTTCAGTTAATTTGCATTTGGAAGGGAAACGAAAGGTTAAACATAAAAGAGCAAAGTGGAGCATTGCCTGTGCTACTTCCTCTGCCTGCTTATGTTTCTTTGTTCACTATAACATCAATACATGACATTCATTTTGCTATATGTAACATGTTCAATCACCGATAGAAAATATGTAACCTTGTGCCATTCATTTGAAAGCTTTAGGAAAAGGTTCATTTAATTTTTTTAAATCTAATTCATTCTGGACACAGGACACAAATCTTGAAGTATACAGAGTCTACTTGTGCTTAACCTGAACCCTTAAGTCAGTTTGTTATATAAAGTAAGTTATGATTTTTTGGTACATTTTGCAATGCTGTTTCAGAGTTCCCTCTATTCAAGGCATGTTTGTTGATCAATTTTCTCATACCTAATATTAATAAATAGATGATAATAAATAAGCGATAATAAAATGTAAATCAGTATGAGTATCATACATTTTCAGTCAGGATATTCTTTTCATATCTTTTGAAAAATGAAAGGAATGAACTTTAGTGACAGAATAAAAATGTATAAACATTTAACACACATGCTTTATGTTATTTTTATATACTCCTAATAGCTCTTTATACCCACAGTATAGTATGTTGGTATATTTAGTCATATACATAATCTATGTAGTTTAGGTAGTCAATAGTTAAAGGTTAATATGAGTTTGAATAATAATAAAATGAAATTATTTAGGATAAGTCAAAACACACAAACATAAACTGAAATGAGGTGCAGATGTTTCCAAATCAAATTATCCTCTTTTGGACTTCAGTATTAAATGACTGTGATGCTTTAAAACAAATATGCTTAACAATCTATTTGTTTAGCAATAGAAAAATACTTTTAAAACTATTGTAGAGGTTTTCTGTGTCATTGCTGGTGATAGATATATAGATAATATGCAAACCCATCCACCAACCGGTACCCCCGAGGACTCGAACCAGGAACTATCTTGTTTTGTCCTGCCCAATGTGCAAAAACCAATCCTACTATATATGTGAAAGGTTCTATTTGTATTTCTGCTGTGTCAGCAGGACTGTGTACGTGTATATCAGAGATCACAACCACATATATGCTCAGAGGCAATAATGACCTGAACATCTGTTAAACAATACACCACATTCTCAATTCAATACACAATCTTTTTATTGGTCACATTTTTATTGGTGTAACAAATTTAAAATGACCTAATTCACCCAGTGCTCTTAAACCCTAGTGAAATAGCATAATTTATTTAAAAAGGGCTGGGAGTTATACGGGCTTGTGTAGCTTCAGTTGTAAAACTAATGACCACATAAGAGCAATTAAACACCACATTAAAATCCCCTCTTTATGATAATATCACACTTGTCACTGATCCATTAGTTGCTGTATCTGCCAAGCAATGAGAATCTTAATTGCACAATTCATTCGGAACTCTGATTGATGTGACAGTGAAATTTATGTTTTATGTGAATGCCTAAGACAGTGTCGACAATTG